TTTAACCAAATAACTTTACATATCAAAAGCAAGTGTTGTATCTGCAGTCATAGTGTTTCCATACAGCTAACTTACTGACAAATATTTGATACTTAAAATTTAAATTTTGAAGAAATTAATAAAAGTTCAACACTTGATCCTGCACAAAAATGATCCTGCTTTATTGTATAAACAGTTTTAAAACTGTTTTTATTAAGGATAACTTATGCTTTGTGAAGGGTTTGCAAACTCATGAGTAATCTTTTTAAAACTAATTAAAATATTTATAAAGAGAAGTAGTAAGTAATTTTGCAATAACCCACGTTTGTGTTACAGTTGTAGAGTTTTATCAACCAGAGCTGTTCAAAACTGGACACTAAATAAGATATTCAATAGAAAAGATTAAAAAAAGAAAAAAAAAATTTGAAGCCATAGTTGGAGATGGAAAGAACATTTTTCATCAGCTATCAAAAGTCAAAGATTATAATATTTTTAATTTTATTATTAAATCTCAATAAGGAGCACTCTGGGCCTTCATCACCTTCAGAGAAATCCAACAAATTCAACGCAAATGAAATGTTACATTTAAAATTTTTATGTAATATTTATTTTACATAAAATAAATATTTTCAAGGTATTTTTTTCCTAATTTCACTTATTTTCTCTAAACTACTTTGTAGTTGGGCAGTTTGTTTATTTATTGTTTTAGTTCATAAAAATAGTTATCCACTAAGCTTATTATTATTATTATTATTATTATTATTATTTTCTGTCTTCAGGCAGAAAGAGAAGGAGCTCTCATTGGTTTGGACTTCACTTTCATTAGAGAAGGCTGACGGAAGTCAAAGTGCCGTCCGGATGAGTTGTTAAAAATTAACCAATCAGATTGCTGATGTAAAGTAGGTGGAACCAAAACACAGGACCTTAAGGCTGCAGGAAAACCTTGCAAAGCTTTTTATTTATTTATTTATTTAATTAGTATTTATTTATCTATTTACTTATTTATTTACCCGGTACAGATCTGTGATGCATTGATTTGCAATCTGTAAATTCAAAAATCAACACAGAAATTGTAGTTGCTCTAAAAATAATGAAAGTTAAATATCACATGTAGGTTTATGTTGATAATTTCAATATTAAATTTGTGTTTTGGTTTCATTGCATGATACGATTTTACAGAAACATTAAGTTGTGTGGGTTATTGTTACATGTCTGTGTGAGTTATTGACATTGCATTATGTACGTGATCGTAAGAGAATATGAAAAGAAACTGTCCCGATGACCTAACTGAATGTTGTTGGATTTGTGCCTGGATTATTGCGCATGAACTTTGGTGATTTGAACCATTTTGGCATGGCTGCCTTAGAGGAGTTGACGTGAGAGAGGGCAGGTTCCAGAAACCATCTTACCACCATCAAACTGTTTTTTTTTTTTTTTTTTCACCATGGGAGTTGGTGCTTGTGGGACTCCTCGGACTGAAGAAGTCCTTTGGATGAAGGACGAATTGTCTCAGCAAAAAAAATAAACCGACTGAACATCATTGGATTTATATCTGGATTACTGAGCATGAACTTTGGTTTAAGAGAATATGTGAGCAGCATAGCCTTACGGGTAATCTTGGGACATATATAAGACTTTTAACAGTTACTAATACATGCGTAAAATTAGGCACCACGCCCCTACGTACTTTTCATCTGACTTTTACACACAAATCGGTTTATAAATTAGTTTGCATTGTAAGCCCGACATGTAATGTTGTGTCTGAATGACTGTAGAGCAGGGGTTCTCAAACTCTTTGGGTTCAAGGACCCCTTACAGGGAAGAACAGGTTTCAGGGACCCCCCTCAAAACCCTCATGTTTATTAAATAATTTTCTTCAATTTGTCTCTTTAACGCATTGGAAATATTTGTGTAACATAAATACTTAAGACCTGGTTTTTTAATAGTGTTAATATAATTTGTTTACTTTCAAACATGGGGTATTTTTCATTCAAGACACACATTAACAACATTTTTAATTTCAATTTCCAAAAATTGCAGTTTTGAGAAAATGAACAGTATCAAAACCCACTTTAAAAATGTACCTATTCACATAATGAATGCAATAAATGTATTGACACTTCTTCAAATTATTACAGAAAACTCTTTACAAAAGCTGAACAGAATCATAACTGCAGTAGTGAGACCAAGTAACAGGCTTGATTTTAAACTCATCCATGCCAGAATGCAAATAGTGGGTGAGGGGAGGGAGGTCTGGGGGTCCTCCCCCAGAGATATTTGAATAAAATAGATGTGATTTCCTGCATTTTGGTGTATTTTAATGGGTTATTAAGCATCCATGTATTATAAGTTTTTTTTTTGTTGTTTTTTTGCGGACCCCCGAGTACCGGATCGTGGAAGTTTGAGACACTGCTGTAGAGCACAGCTAAAACAGAGTTAGATATGAATATTGCTTAGACTGAGGGTATTTCAACAAATCTGAAGAAGGCATGAAACTATCAAGACTACAAAGCAAAATAATGACTGAGCATTCACATTAGTAACTGTAAAGAAGGACAACAGGTGAACTTTTTTAGGTTTTGCGTTCCAGAGGGTTGTCCCTGTTGGTTTTACTGTTTAGTGGTACGTTAGCATTTATGTTTATTTTGTTGTTAGTGACCATTTAAAAATGACACCGTAAGTCAGATGTCACACTTTATGAATACAAAGAAGAGAAGCTTCACAAATTACAGAATTTATTGAAACTAAAAAGAAAGTGATGCAATCGGTTGTAGAGGTCTTTAACTTTAGCCTTGAATGGGATGTTACTATATTTCATCCTAACTGAAGGCCTAGCTCTTATAGGCACAGTTTGTCACTGCTAAATCTCTAAACATGAGGTGTTTTGTTGATTAACTGGGTTTTTTTTTTTTTTTTTACATTGGCAAATACAGCGTCATTTTATGCCTGAACATTTATCATTTTTGAAAAGCACGTTTTTTTTATAACACACAATAATTCATAATACCATCATTAAAAGGTAAATAGGATGCATTGTAAAAAATAAATAAAAAAACTATAAAAAGCTAAACGAATTTACCTTAAAAGGCATTCTAAAACCCCCGCAATTAAAACCTTATGATTTTTTTTTTAATTGGGTGTTTTATTTTATCATTTTTAATTCTCATAAATACTTAAGTTCAACCAGTTTAGTTTTTTTCATGTCAAGTCAAAACATCAACTTTGAAAGTCCCAAATTATTCTTGTAATTTTAATAAAATATAGGAATCTATCATAAAAGACTTGTAGACATTAGTTGTTTATGTAAGTATACTAACATAACTTTTATGTTAACATCTTGACAGTATGAATAGTTCGTCAAATTACTGTACGCATATTTGCTAAACAAAAACAAACTACAAACAAAGACAGAGTTTATTTATTGATAGAGTCACTGCAGGGGAATTTAGATAAAGGTTTATAGATGTTTATCACTGCTAATGCTAAACTAATGTTGAACCGTGTGTGAGGTCAGAGAGTTCCCTTTTCTCTCTCAGAGAGGAGCCTGCAGGCATCTGATGCCTCTGAGATGCTGAGGTCATCGTGCTGATAAGCATTATAAAAACACTTCCTGTACACTGTCCGGTGCAGATCTTCACGACCAGGGCTTCAATGAAACATCTGTGTAATCCTGTGTGAACGTGCAAGTAAACTGGGTTAAAAATCTTCTCCTGTCTTCGTGTGTGACTCTTTTTAAGTAAATAGATAATGAAAGGATTTTTTTATCCGACATGGACTTCCTGTGAAACAAACAGGTGGACAATTATAATCTAGTTTGTAGTGGAGTGTTGAACGCAGTGGTGGCTCAGTTAGCATGTTTCTCTTCAGTTTGAGTTCTCTGACTTCCTGCGGACAGAAGCACCTGTCGCTGATGTGACAGACCAATAGACTCCTGAAAACTGCCACCTGTCTTCTCAGTAGTGCAGGGATTGTCTACTTGCTGAGCATGTAGATTACTGAAATTAGTCTAACACAGAAGAGCAGAGGGGAATCTCCAGGAAGAAGATCCCACTGTCACACCAGTGAGAGGTGGGCCTTGGGCAAAAATAGATGTAAATCTTAGAAAGACTTGAACCTGATGAGTGGAGAGGTGGGAGCTTATATCGAACAGGCCAGACAAGACAGCTGTCTCCCACTGTGAGATGAACATGCAATGATGGTGGACTCAACAGTGTGCCTTATCGCTGAGCCTCGTAAGAAGAAAAAAAGAGAGTCCACACTCTTAAAAATTAATTGCAGTCCTCAGTAATAACCTTTGTGCAGACATACGCTCAGGGAAGGAGTGGAGCACGGGGGGAGCCTTTTTCAGCTGGCTGAGGGATCCTTAAAGCGCCTCAGGGGGCGATGGAAGCCGGTGGCTTCAGCAGCCCATGCTGAATGGTGCTGAGACGGGCCAGCTGTTCAGATCACTTGGCAGCACGTGTGATGTATGGAGCTGGGAGATGCTTTTACTCTCCACCCATTAAACAGTTTCTAAGATCAAGGGTATTAGTCTCATACCTTCTTATGGGTTTTACTGTTAGGATTTTCACCTTAGCAGCTGTTGAGAAGTTGGTATATATATATCGGAAAATGTACCACATACACATTACATCAACTAATCTGTTCCTCTCTCTGTCTCACTGTTCTTTTTCCTGCCCTTTTTCAATACGATTTTCCCACTTTCATGTACGTGCAACTTTTCAAGCCTCTACTGCTATTCTCCAGGGGTCATTGGTGTCTCCATCTCGCTATAGATGGTGGGCATTGTGGCCGCCCAGAAGCTCAGCTCATTATCGCCCATGCTGGGCCCACAGAGGGCATGGCAGAGTGGAAAACATCCCCGCCTTCAAAGCTAACGACCAGAAGGCGCTAAGCCCTAGTTTTACCTTTTTGGGTTTGTTTGTGTTTCCAAGTATAGTCAATTACAAGGCCATAAAACACTAAAACAAGGTAATTTCACATCTCAAGATCATGCGAATACCATTTACATCTTTACTCACCTTCTCCTGGTACTGTCGTCGAGATGAGTCCAGAGACTGGATAAGTGCAGTGGCATGGCCCACAAACATGGCATAACAGGTAGCACCCACGATCATGCTGAGGATGGTCAGCCAGACGTCTGTCATGCCTACTGGGGGGTACATGCCGTACCCAATACACAACATGTGGCTCATAGCTTTGAAAAGTGCGTAGGAGTACTGCTGTCCCCATGTGTCATTCTAAATGGAACAGAAAAGACGGGGTGAGTTAGGGGTGAGTGGGACACACTGACTGGTTCTCCATCAAATTACAGTGTTGATTACACATTAAAGGTCAATGATTACATTAACCACACACACTCATATACACACACACACACACACAAATGCACAGAATTAAAGGTAGTTGTCAATTTCATACAATCTTAGTTCAGTGCAGAGAAGCTGGCAGGGTAAAACATACTTTTCATTGTGCAAACATGTGAAGCAAGCAGACGTTTGGACAAAAGCCTGAGTCTGAGCCTTGAGAATGGGCAGAACGAGTGTGAGACACTGGAGGCTTCCATGACAGAAAGTAGGTCAGCTATGTAGAAAAATGTGATTTCTCTGTGAGTTTTCTTATTTGTAGATAAATTGCTCCTTTTGCTTTAGATCCCATTGGTGGTTCATGGTAAATCAATATCAACTCTCCCTTGGGGGTGACATGCCCAAATTGCTTTCAAACTCATTTCCACTGCAGAAAAGCTGAGACAGATAGCAATTTTATTGTTGCCTACCTGAAAGGTAAGAGGCAAAGACCCGGGATAATGGCAGTACAGTTACAGTTACTGTTAAAAGGCCTTTTGCTCATTTTTAATATACACTCGGTACGATTGTGAACAGTCTAATTGTGAATTAAAAAATGTACTAAACAAATTTAGAATGCTTTTTACTTTCGTTCTGTCCCATTAAAATGTTTTTTGTTATATATAATTGATTAAATAGTGTTTTCTGTGAGAGAAACATTTGTATTGTTATTCACACATACATTTTTAACAAATAAAATATATATGCATGGATACATCAACTTAACATCTTATATAAAAAATGAATTAAAAACATGAGACCATAAACCAGCTTCA